TCATCAGAAACTTGTAATTTTTATGAATTTCAGATTTTCTTTTCATTACGGCTTTTCTTAATAGGTCAAGTTCTTATTTACGTTATAAAGTATGATTTTACAAATATCAAGTTATCGTGTTTTTTGAAGAATTATGAGAAACAAACAAAAATGAAAAAGATAGGAATAGCAATGAATAGTGATGTGGGTATAGAAAATGTAAGAGATATGAATGCAAAGCAATCAGTATTTAGGATATTGACCATAGATTTCGAAAAAAATGCTGCATATTGAGCGAAAACTATGATTATATTAAGCTGTCATTTAAAGCATAATGAAAACTATTCCTTTTCATTTTAATCGAATAAGATAGTAAAGATTTTTGAATTAGCTAGAAACTGATGATGTTTTCACAAAAGTACAGTATACATTGTGCGTCGCCTGTAGCCTACAGCTACAGTCACCGACACAATGAAAAAAGTGACAGAAAACTGACACCATACGGGCGCGCATATGTACGCATATATGTGTAAAAATAAACGTTCATATGTAAACTAACCTTTATTCACTAGCAGGGGCTGATAAATCATAATCGTCGAGAAGTACGATAGGTGGTCCCACAGGTTTAATCTGTATGGAGAGGCAAACGTGACGTAAGAAGCATAACACTGGTTTCTCAGTATATTTAATAGACTCTGCTGTTGGCTTAAACTGTAAGCTTATATGTAATAGGTGAATTAGATAACTGACCCTGTTGGAATGTATAATCAGTTTCGCAAGGGAATCCACATAGGTAATGACCTAGGTCATTTGACTCGATTCCAAATTGAGGGACTGATGTGGTTGTGATAGACCTCATGACATCATAGTTGAAGCCAACAGTATCGTTATTATTGTTAGTGGCATTTGCCTGCATCTCATAGAAGATTGGATCATTAGATGCTTGAGCCTCAGCGGGTATGTTACCATATGCTCCACAGTTCAATTGAATTTGTTCAAACAAATGGATTTTCATAGGTAGTGTTATAATTAGGTGTTTTCTTAAATAGTGTATAAATGGTGTTCACATATAATGGAGTAATGCGCCGTGAATGTACAAGGAGTTCCTTCACCTTTAGCCATTGAACCATCCATAGTAATGCAGTCAATTCTTTTGATTGGGAAGTTTAGAGTCTTTGCCGAATATCTTGTCACCAAATCACTATAGATGTTAGGGTCCAAAGAGAATGAGTTACAGTATGTAATCATTTCAAAGAAGTTTGCATTCTTCTTAGTGAACTTAATAACTTGGTACCAAATGATATCGTACTCTTATCGGCATTCCAAGTTACAGTATCAATAACTTTGATACCTTCATAGATAGGAGTGAAGTGATTAGTGATTGGAATATAGCTTGTAACATTGGCTTGCATGTTCGGTAATGGTAGATATCCTGATAACTTAATGGTGTCCAAACCATACCAGCAATACTGAACTTAACCTTAAGTTGTAAGTTACAGCAAACGCTGGAAGGAATCTAATGTTATTAAGTATTAGGAATCTTCTTAGGTCAATCTTGATTGGTATGTGGAACTTTAATGTAGTTGCACCACTAATTGGTTTTATTGAACTCAATAATCTGTCCAGAACGAACTGTATCACATCTATTGAAAACATCTTTATGTCTAGCCTTACTAAATACATCAACTTTCTTAATAGCTTCTGTTGTAGATGCAGTAGAAGTAATTAACCTTCTTCTCTAGCATTATCTTGTGTATAAACACTTTTACCATTAGCGATTAATTGATATGATTCAACAGCATAGAATGAATCAATGTATCCAACCAAATTGCTGGAAGATGTGCACATGATTTGCCACCAGCTATTTTAGTATCATTGCTTTAATTGCTGTAACATTTGATCCTGTAGGAGCTGTCTCAACAGCTCTTTCTTTATATACTTCACCATCATATTTAGGAACTTTTTCATCAGCTGGTTCAGTTTCTGTTGTATTATGCACTCACCATCGACATAACCACTAATGAACGTATTATATAAGTCAATCATGTTCTACCAGGTGGTGATATGTTAAATGTAATATAACCGTTATCAATAGTATTTGTCGGCATAGCTGGCACTTTTGTTGGGACATATCTATGGTTAGTATCTCCAATAGGAACTGCCCATCAACTTGATCGAAATAATATCTTACTTGTCTGATGGAATCAGCAATACTGTATGTATTGAGGTTATCGTTCAACATCTTCTCAGCTATAAAAAATTTACAATCTTCTTATTCTTGGGATTATTCGTCTTATTTGTGGCTGAGGTTTAGGAGGTTCTGGTTCAGGCTCTGTTTCATCATCGAAGTGTATTCTTTTCTCTTCCATTGATTGAACATATTCTTGATTCTCTTTAGTTTCCTTCTCACGTTCAATTGGGTCCATGTTTGGTTCATTAACTACACTGTTACGTTCTAATATCTTTGTCATCATCTCTAACAACATTTTATTAGTATATGCTTGTTCTTCTTCTTTCTTCTCATCAACTTTAGGAGCTTCTTGAACAACAGGAGCTGGGGCAGGAGCTGGTGAATTCAATGGTGCCTTTCTCTTTCTAACTTGAACTGAACCATTCTTCATATGACAAACATAATATAATGGATGTTGTATTCCTTTAGCTTCATTCAATATGATTGATTGCTTTTCACTTGGTGAAAGTTTTGACGTCATTTCTATCCTAATAAAATTTTTACTCCTAACAAAATGACTGAGAATACTTCGACAGAGAAGCACTCAAGAATGAACTTCGTGAAGAAATACTTAATGAACTCAAACCAAAAGAACAAACACAAGAAGAGAAACCAGCTAAACCAAAGCGTAAACTCACAGAGAAACAATTAGCTGCATTAGCAGCTGGACGCGCAAGAATCCACGAATGATTGCAAAGAAATTGAGAGAAGAGGAAGAAGCTAGAAAAATAATAAGTAAGTGTTTAGAACTTTAACTTACGTTCAAAAGATGACTTCGTTGAAATAGTGAAGTCCTTATTTTTGTTGAAGCATGGTTTCGAACCAATGCACAAGTCAAAGGTTATCTCATCACCTTCATAAGAGATTTGTACAATTCCACGATGCTATTTTTCCCAACTTTCTCAGGAAGAACAAACCTTTCTTCTCGTCATAATGTACTTGTATCGCATCTGGGAACATTTGGTTTGCAGTAAGTGCAATTACGTCCTGTGTGATTCCCTTCATTCGACAGTGGAAGCAATTTCCTTGAGGTCATTGGTTAATTCGTCGAGGTAAGTCTTCTTTCCAACGAATATAGAACTTTGTGCCTTAGACATATGTCTGCAGTAATCTCTGCAAAGTCTGAATGAAATTGACCCAGTGCTTTTCCAATGAGTTCTCTGTTATACCTTCTCTTGTATTCTTCTGCTAACTTATCTAAGTCCTTCTCATACAAGTGTAAACTATCTGTATCCTGATAGAACAACTTCAAGCCCAAATCTTCTGCTGTGAAGAATACTTCATTCATGATTCGTTTGGACATAGAAGGATTGAAACACCTAATGGACAATAGTTAAAGTGACGAACGATAGGTTTAAATGACTTTACACATGAAAGTTCGGAATCGGGGATGAACTCTATTGTCTGTATGTCATTATATGTCTTAATGATATAGTCAGTGAGCTTATTGTCCTTGATGAAACGAATCTTTTTGTCAATGGGCTTTAATATCGTCTTACATAGATACTGTCTCCAATAAGAATTTGTACATACTCTCAAATTTATCGAAAAAATTAATATCACCTAAACTAGTATATTCTTATTTTAAATATGATATTATCCTTATATTCCTCACTAAAATTCATTTAAATCAACTTTTAAAAAAGTTCGAATCCTGCGCGTCTCACTTTTTAAATTTTCCAAATGGAAAATTATATTCTCCTAAAGTGAAAACAATTTTCCAAATTGACTTCCTTATTTCATATAGATTTTTAATTGTAATGATCAGATATAGTTTCTTCAAAGCAAGAAAATTGACATGTTTTCATAACCTTAAAATAGCGGTTTTCCATGACCCTGTCATTTTTGATCTGGTCAAGATCTGATTTATCAATTAAGTATGTATTGAACATGGCGCTGAAGATAATTTAGGATCTGTTCTGATTAGGATGATACTTTTTATCCGAGCCGCCTTAATTTTTCAAAACAAACTAACACACAGTATTTTCAATTTAATTAGGAGATGTGGTTGCCCCTCTCGCAATCAAATGATCATTACCAACGGAATTATGACTCCAGCATACATATAATTTAAACGTTTGTTAAGTTTAATTAATTTTTCTCCCTTTTTATAACTAATATATGCATGCACATTTTTTACCTCTTCTGAATCAAGAAGTTTTTTTTTGCCGCATGGCTCAGATGCTGATAGCTCCTTGGCTGCATATCTCGTTTTTTTTTAGAACGAATCACTAAGCTATGAGGCAAACTGGTTTCATTGGTAATAAATGAGTTTAAAATGCTTTTGTTTCGTCAATAAATGCATTGCAATTCAGATTTAAACTTTTTTATTTCGATGAACTTTAGCTTGTTGGATGTTCCATATTTGGATCGATAAGACACTTAGCAGATCCAACAATCAAAGCTGGAATTGAACGACCATTCAGTTTGTTAAGGATTTTCTGACAAATCTAATTGAACTTGATTCATTTATTACTCAATATCAGTGTGCTTTCGTTTTTATATTCAAGCTTTATTCAATTAGTAGGATCTTATAGACATTTAGGAAGATTTTTGATCTAAACAAAATAAAAAAGCATTATTGGAACCAAAATTGGATTGTAAATTAACATACACATGAAGTACAATAGGAAAATCTTTATATTTATTTGATAAGTCCTAAAATCCAATCATTGAATAACTAAACTTTGATTTAAGCGAATATTTTGCGGAAAAATTACCATAAACTGCTATAATAAATATATCTATTTAGTCAAAATGCATAAAATTTTACTGTGTCTCAAAATTTTCTATGTCCTCCACGAAAGGGAAGGATCTTCCACAAGTTTCTGATGAAGAATTCCCCGAACCAGAAGACTCCGATGCCAACCCAGAAGAAGAGGAGGAAGAACAGCAAAAGGAAATTGTCGTTATCGATGATGAATTAATTGAAGAATTAAAACAAGCAATTCCCAAGGGTAATCCAGTTCAACTTGCTCAGGCAGTTGATGTCATCATGGGTGCACTTGAATTAAAAGAGAATGTCATTTTCGAAGAAGAACACAAACTAAATCCACTGACAGAAATCTTAGTTCCACTTGTTTCCAAAGTATATTCCATTTATGAAGCCAATCCAACAGGTAAAAAGCACCAAATCACTGAGAAAATGCTCGCAGATATCGTTCAAACTTACGAATCATTCGAGAAATTCAAAGGATCAGCAGAATTACTTGAAGCATTCTTCGAGACAGTCTTAATCACACGTAAATTCGTCGATAAAATCGATATTTCGAAAGCTCTTACAACAGCAGTCAAATTTGGCATTTCTAATCCAAAATATTCGGAGATTACTAACAAGGAACTTCAGAAAATCTGTGATGACACTACTTTCTTACCAATTGTTTTCAATCTTCGTTATGATGAATATAAGAATTTGGCTGATAAGCAGCACACTGAATCCATCGAACGCTTACTTCCTGAACTTATAGCTTTCTTCACAGAAAAGGGCGAGATCTCAAAGTCTTTCGTTAAAAAATTAATCAAAAATTTGGCTTCTCGTATTTGTGATGACATTGTAAAGAAAGACAAAGGAATCATTTCATGGGGAACTGTCGCTGAGATGAACTTTATTACAGAATTCATTCTTAAAACAGAAGATCAAAGATTTGTTTATCCATACTTAACAGAATTATATTCTTTCCTCCGCAACTTCCCAACAGCAAACTACCTTCCATTCCAACTACGTGCAGCTCAGAATATCGCTCAAATTTGCTCAAAATTTTCGAAAATTTCTCCATTACTTGCATGGTCAGCTGATTCAATGGCAATTATCTGTTCCCTGCACTGCAAAGGAAAGGGTGGACGCTTTGATTGGGACAATGAACTCGTTGCTCCTCAAAATGTGAACTATGAGTACGCAGAAGAAGCATTTGACAGACTAAGCCGCATTATCCATGCCCAACTTGTTGAGTTCTCAGAGAATATCGCATTTCCTGAGTATTCACAGTTCATTAAGCGTCGTCTCGAGGAAATTACGATTAATGCCAAGAACGACCGCTTGAAATACAGACCAAAGGCCCTTATTAAGACCATTTCCGAACAGCAGGATGCTCTTATCTCAATAAAGAACAATCTGCAGTGGAAAGATCGCAAAGAACAAATCGCTGCTTGGGCTCCTGCAATGGAGGAGATGCCAACACCTATTAAGACATCAGCAGAGAGGTCGAAGAAGGTCGAGGAAGCCATCAGAAAGGCTAATGCTGCCAATAGGCAGAATAATGAGGCAGTTGTCGACGCTACCGGTGATAGAGTTGAACGTGTCAATGCTGACAACTTTTTGGACTAAAGCATTATTTAGAGATTTATTTTTATATCAAAATTTTATTTTTTTTTATAAAATGTTTTTTGATGTAATTAACATTTCAAGTTTGATATCAAAACACTTTACAAAGATGACATGTTCAAAAAGTGGAACAATTAATTGCAATTTTTGATATTTTTCTAATTTGAGCAAAACTTAAAACTAAGCTAACTAATTAATAAAATTCCTCAAATAATAGTACACAACAATGCTTAATTTTTCATAAATTGATTAGAAAGAAGTTGATTAGTTTCATCTAAACTAAACTTGTGTCAATGATTAATAATTGCCAAACTTATTGTAGAAACCGTATTTTTACGATTATTTATAATGCCATAATTATTACCGCAATAAAAGTTCAATAAGATCAATTAATTTAATTCCATATATTCATCATGGCATTATAAATAATCGTAAAAATACGGTTTCTACAATAATATCATATTTGAGAGGATAATCAGCTTTGAAATGATAGATGAAATTCTGTAAAATTTCTCACTTTTCTGACACTTGATATGAGGAGATTTTTATCATAAAAACAATGCTTTTTTTGGTATCACAGAGTCCTCCAGAAGTGACATAAATAATAAAGTTAGAAAAGAGGATATGCTTATTCTGAGATTAATAGATACATTGGAAAATAATATAAAAAATGATAAGAAAAGAAATTAATTTGATTTGAACAAAGCAAATGTGTGAGTTTTCGAATAAGGATACAGCCATTTCCAAAATGACCAATTTCTATGCCACCTTTTGGAGATGGAATAGATTCATATCCTCCTTTGATAACTGTATTACGAAAGTATAATTGTGAATAATGAATTGGATTATCACTCATTTGAATATTGGTGGCAGAACTTTCGTTTTTGACACTTTTAAATCCATTGTGTCCTGAAATGTAAGATGATCCACCACCAGATCCTAGTCGTCCCCACTATTGTCCAGAGCCTCCCCCTCCCCAATAACCTCCTCCACCAGCTCCTGTAGTCCAGTAACAATATTCACCTCCACTTCCATCTCCTCCTTGACCAAAGGTGCCGTTTTTTCCAAGACATCCATTTGGTCCACCTCCGGCAATTCCATAAGAATCTTGAGTTCCTCCTGTGGCATTGATAATAGGAGTTACAGTAGAACATGATGGACATTGACTGTATAAACCGTCAAAACCGTTGAAACCGCCATGACCTCCTGATGTAGGATTGTTATAACTAGCAAGCCAACCTGCACCACCTGCAACAATAATTCGCGTTTTCAAGGATGAAAAGTCAGTGCCTTCTTGCAGTCGAATGTCGGTGCTGCCGCCACCTGAGAAAGCAATAGAATTGGAACTAGGTTGAACTTTGCGTCCTCCATTGAATGTACGCAAATTAGAGTTTTGTTTGCCTGATTCACCGATGTAGGCAAAAAAAATTTGACGGCTTTCAATTTTGATGTCACCAGAAACATATGCTCCAAGGCTCCCATGTGAACGAGAGTCTGATGCTGATGCACCCATAACTCAAATTTATATGTCCCTGGTTCTAGTTCAACTCTACTAGACCCAAAAGAGTCAATGAAAAGTACAACATTAATCTAGAAACGAACTAAAAAATGGCACTTTTCATCGGGTTGATTTTTCATTATAAGATATACTAACAAGTATATAATATTTATTATGATAATGATTTTTTTTTCGAAAGATATTAATGGTGCAACAGT